ACTGCTCGGAAGACTGTTAAAATAAAACTGCTGAAAAGTATAATTCTAAATCTGTATGTAAAGAGTTTTTATTTGGCTGCAATAACAGATGTCAGGGAGAATTTGAAAGCAGAAAGAAAACAAGGCACATTAATGTGTTTGATATATCGATTTCCAAGGACATCACTCTGGGGAGGGCAATAATTTCAAGCAGAAAACTGATGCTGCACGGAGTTAATTTCCAGCTCTGAAGTGATGCCCAGCAGATAGAGACTGTAATAACATTGCAATTATTCGGCTCTCTAACAATGCCCAGCACTGAAAACTATTGCTCTCCTTACTGAAACATTAAATTAAATGCTGCCAATAACGGGAGTTACAGTCACTGCTGTTCCTGCCCAACGGAACTTCCATCCTTCCTTACTCTTTTCATTAACCCAGACTCATGGTCTGCAGTTTTATTTCCTCTCCTAATGCAGTGTATTTGTAGTTCGGGGGCTCCACCAGCCCATGGAAAGCTGTTTGCCCTCCTCCTGTCCCTTGTTCCCTGGGAGCAGAGCCCGACCCCCCCGGGCTCCCCCCTCCTGTCAGGGGGTTGCAGAGCCAGAAGGTCCCCCCTGAGCCTCCTTTGCTCCAGGCTGAGCCCCCCCAGCTCCCTCAGCTGCTCCTCCAGCCCCTTCCCAGCTCCCTTCCCTTCCCTGCACACGCTCCAGCCTCTCAATGTCCTTCCTGAATTGAGGGGCCCAGAACTGGACACAGGACCAGAGGCACAAGGCAGTGTGTCCATCCAGCTGGGGAAGGAAAGCTGCAGCTCACAAGATGCCTGGGATTTGACTTTTGTCTTTGCTCTGCACTGAATTGAAAATGTGGATAGTTTTGTACCCCCCTGTGTCCCCTTTTCAGGACTGAGGTCCTGCATGCTGACGGCCAAAACCTTCTTCATAAAAACTTAATAAAATCTATGTTGAGCATTTCGACTCATTTCCATTCCTCTGGGGTGGCTGAGTTTCCCAAAATATGGCCAGGAGTTTCCAGATCATACAAAAAACTTGAAAATAATCAGGTCATCAATGCCTGCAGTGATCCCACACGGTCCTGCAACACCAGGCTTGGCAGGCTGTGGAAACACATCCAAAGGACAAGGAGGGCAAAATGATCCTGATCTTTGGCTCAGTTGGTGCCAGCAGAGACACCAGCAGTGGTCCAGTGACACTGCCAGAGGTGATGCCAAAGAGGGATTCTCAGCCCACCTTATCCCAGTTACCCCTCCCGGATGCACATCCAGAGTATCTGGAGATGTGAACGCTCTGTGCCCACGGGTTTGGTGCTGGAATGCCCAAGGGTCAGGCTAAGCCGTGGCACTAAAACCCACCAATGAAAGGAGCTCATGAGTCTCTGCTGCTGCAGAACGTTCCAGAGCACATTTTGGACAGGCAGCAGCCAGGCAGGAGCTGTCCTGCCCCGAGGGGGTGGCAGCACAGGGCCACCAGAGGTTCAGAGCATGGGTGACACAGAAAATGCAGAGATTTTGGATCCCCAGGCAGAGCATCAAGAGCTGAGGGTTTCACTCTGCAATAACATCTCAGTGAGGCTGAGCAGCTCAGAACCACCATCTCTCAAAGGAATGATAAATTAAATAAATATTTATAATACATATTGGAACATTTATTTGGATTTCTATCTGCATATCTGTGTTTGTGTGCAATATTTACACCTTAACATTTACCCACAAGTTTGTGCTGTGGCCTAAGGATGCCCTGCTTTTAAGCCAGGCCTATAGGAGAGATGTACAGATCATCAGTGCCCAGGGACTACATCCCCATCAATAAGAAATGCCTGTGAGATCCAATTTCTCGGGCTCAGTTCCATGCAGAAATGCATTAGGCTGTGGCTCAAGGGGTGTGTGGAGCCTCAAGAAATTGGAATTAGGGAAACTATGCCTTTTATGAGCCTTTATATTACAATTCCCTGGCACACATATTGATAGAAAGAGATAAAAAATAACAGTGCAGAAGCACATTCACTGTGCAGTGTTGTCTTTGGGCAATAGCCTTGGCTTGTTTCCCTGAGCATCCTTCCTGTGAGGGGCTCGAGTTTCCAGCTGCCCTCCCACATGGATGGATTCTGCCTGGACACTTTGGGAGAGTCTTCCAGGGTGCTGATGTCAATGCTGTGAGAGGGTCTCTGAACAGACTGCTCTGCAGGGGCTTCCCTGAGCACATGGAGTGTCCTGACCTCCCTTATCCCCCAGTGTGTCATTCCAGAGGGATGAAGGCTGGCCAGCAAAGGAGCTCAGGGAATGCCAGGGGGTGCAGCCACGGCCCCACCACAGTCCCAGTAGCTGGACCATGGGGCACAGGTCACATCTGGAACCCCTGTCTTGCCCTCCTGCCCCACCCCACAGCCCCTGGCCCGCCACAGACCCCTCTGCCTGAGGATGGGGCACGTCTGGGGACACTCACAGATGTGCCACCTGCAAAAAGGCAGCATTCCCATGGGAAAAGCAGGGTCACCCTAAGGGAAAGGCAGGATCACCCCAAGGGAAAGGCTGGATCACCCCAAGGGAAAGGGCAGGATCACCCCAAGGGAAAGGGCAGGATAACACCACGGGAAGGGCAGGATCACCCCAAGGCAAGGGCAGGATCACCCCAAGGAAAGGGCAGGGTAACCCCAAGGGAAAGGGCAGGATAACACCACGGGAAGGGCAGGATCACCCCAGACAGTCCAAGGGCAGGGTCACCCCAAGGCAAAGGCAGGGTGGCCCAGGCCCCTCGGTGCCCAGGGGCTGTGACAGTGCAGGTTGCTGTTCCCAGCTGTTCCCTGGGCAGGGAATTCATTCCATAGGGATCAAATCAAGGGACAGACCCTCTGAGTTCTGTGGGAAGAAGGAACACTGGTGGGGCTGAGGGCAGGTGTCTGCAGAGCTGTTTGGGTCTCTGCCATCAACTGTTGCTGGCAATCTTTATTTTCTGACAAAATGAAAGGTTTTTTAGGAAGTTTAAATCCCTGAAAAAATGTGGAGCTTACAAAAATCATAAAGGAAACTAAACTTCCCACGTTAGCCAGAAGGAATTCCTGGGTGCAACTACTTACTTTTTTTCTGATACAGAATTGAAATTATTTTGAAAGAACTCAAATTTCACAAGGAATAAACATTCCAAGCACTGCCCCCCAGGCAGCTCCGGAGGGGCCCTTCGGGGGGCACAGTGGTGTTTCTGGGAGTGCTGAGGACACCGGGAAAACACCTGGCTGAGCTGGAAAAGCTCTGACTGTGAGACAGGGTGGATGGGAAGGCAGATCCTCCGTGGTGCTTGTCCATCTGCCTCCTGCTCTTGCAGCCACATCCTTGAGGACACCTCCGTGCCTGAAAAAAAATAGAGGTTTTTACTACACAAATTTTGAACTGGAGAAGGAAAATAAAATAAAAAGGAAGGGTTGTTCTAAATTTGTTTGCCCCTACATCTGACATCTGTTATTTTCATTCCAGGTAAAATGAGATAAAATCATGTTCCTGAATAAGTAATGCACCAGGATTTCCTAGAGAGTTTGTCCTCAATGAAAGATAAAAATATCAGTATAAAAGATTCATTCATTTCAGCAGTAAACATCTGCAGAAACAAATTGCATTGGGAACTTTCCCAGGACTGTAGGCAGAAACCCTACAGAGCCAAGGGACATCTATTCTATTTATCACGTTTATGAAAGAATTTCTGGAGTAGTTTTTCACTGAAGAATAATAATACACTAACAGTACAAATCAATGATGATTTTGAGGGAATTATACACTTAATGCAGTTCCCAGGTGGATCACTATTGTTTGGCACTCAGACACAGGATTTGCAGCTCCCGTGGTACATCAGGATAACCCCGAGCAGCCCCCGGGTCACTCTGGGGTTCACCAGCTCAGTCTGTGACCCCAGAGCTCAGCTGAACCTCTGGGGGCTGCTGGGGGGCACACAGAGGGATCTGAGCCATCCTGGGCAGCTCCTTTAGTTGGAATATTCAATTTTTCCTTGTTGTATTTCTCTTCCTTTGCAGCTGAAGGTGAAAGGAGCATCACAGACTGGGAGAGCCTTGAGTTTTCACCTTGAACAATTTGCTGTTGCTTCTGCAGAAGAAAATTCCAGGGTTGGAGTGAAAGCTGTTGGCAAAATTTATTTGTGGGCATGTGAAACTCGGTTGTGAAAGTAAAGAGAGTGGTTGATCCTGAGGGTGGGTAAAGCCACTTCCTGGGGAGCAGAAAGTTACTAAACCCATGATCCTCTAACCTAAAGGATTGTATGACCTGAGAGCCCCTTCCAGGGCCTAAGGGGGCTCCAGGAGAGCTGGAGAGGGACTGGGGACAAGGCATGGAGGGACAGGACACAGGGAATGGCTTCCCACTGCCAGAGGGCAGGGAGAGAGGGGATAGTGGGAAGGAATTCCTGGCTGGGAGGGTGAAGAGGGGCTGGGATGGAATTCCTGGAGAAGCTGTGGCTGCCCCTGGATCCCTGGAAGTGTCCAAGGCCAGGGTGGAGCAACCTGGGCTGGTGGAAGGTGTCCCTGCCCATGGCAGGGGGTGGCATTGGGTGGGTTTAAGGTCCCTTCCCACCCAAACCAGTGTGGGATTCTGTGATTTGAGCTCAGCTAAAGCTGGACTCCAAGCTGTCCATAAGCTGGTCTCATGTCAGTGAGGAAGTTGGCACTGCAAAACCAGGTGAAAACAGCTCTGACAGCATTCCCTGCCTGTGACAGCATTCCCAGCCTCTGACAGCATTCCCTGCCTCTGACAGCATTCCCAGGCTCTGACAGCATTCCCTGCCTCTGACAGCATTCCCTGCCTCTGACAGCATTCCCAG